ACACACACACACACACACACACACACATATATATATATATATATATATATATATATATATATAATGCTGAATGCTGAATTTTTTAATTAAAAAATGTTAATTTCATGTAAATGTCAATCAGTATTAATCACAGTTGAGTGAAATTTGCAGTGAGAATATTTGTCGGAAATTTTGTTGTGAGTTCCATCTGGTGGTCATTTGGAATATAATTTTATTTAGTTGAATATGCTGTATTTTGACAATTTCAGGAAGGTGAAATGTAACTCATTTCGTTCGATGAAAATGATTTTTTTTTGCTGCAATGAGATTTTAAACAATAACTATAGCAATGTCGCTGTGTTAGGTATCTCACACTATGTGCTACAATGTCAGAAATCCCCAAGGAAGTATCTTAAAGGGGTCATATGATGCAATTTCAATTTTTCCTTTCTCTTTGGAGTGTTACAAGCTCTTGGTGCATAAACAAGATCTGTAAAGTTGCAAAGACTAAAGTCTCAAATCCAAAGAGATATTCTTTATAAAAGTTAAGAGTCAGCCACGCCTACCTAAAACGGCTCGTTCTAACACACACCCACATATCTACCTCACTATGTGGGAAGATTTGCATAACGTCGCCCAAATGTTCACGCAAAGAAAGAAGGCGTAACTTTTATTCTCACTGTAGTATTGTTGTTGCCGCCGCCATGTCGTGAAGGCACCGTATGTTTCGTTGTGAAAGCGAAACTACTTTGTTTGGCCTTCCAAAAGAGGACGATATCTGCTTCGTAATGCCTGGAGCTGATCCGTGCTGGTTGCTGAGGAAATACATCAACTTTGCGCTGTGGATCGCCGGATCTGTTTTCACCGTGGACGAAGTGGAGTCCAGCCCAGGGTCGTCACATGTGGTTGCCGCAGGCATCACAATATGGTAAGGGACTTAACATTTCCGTCACATGCTTGAGGCATTCGTCCAATCACAATGCACTGGATAGCTGGCCAATCAGAGCACACCTCGCTTTTCAGACCGATGAGCTTTGTAAAAATCGACGCGTTTCAGAAAGGCGGGGCATAGAGGAGAAACAATAATGTACAGTATGTGGAAAATAATTTTAAAAGTTTTTTTTAACCTTAAACCGCATAAACACATTTCATTACACCAAATACACAAAATAATGTTCTTTTTAGCAGCATCATACGACCCCTTTAAAAATATCTTGTTGGATTTTTAAGAAACCCATAGAGTGATATCTCTAAAAAAACAAAAAAAATCTTCAAACAAAAATAACCCACCTTTGCACCCTGACATTTCTACTTTCTGTTTGGCACACCCTTCCTTTCCAAGATTAGAATGGTGCTGTCTTCTGATTTTTCTGCAATTTAGTGAGATATAGGTGTGGATCTATTGGTAGCTACATCCTGAGCAATATTTAGTTTTCAGCCATCCTTGGGTCGCTTGATGTAATTATAGGTTAAAAGAGACACAGCTTAATAGTGCTGATTTGAATGTTGTGCCTTAGAAACATCTAGATAAGACATATTTCTTTCTTTCTTTCTTTATTTATAAAGCACTTTCACACAACTACCAGTTGATTCAAAGTGTTGTACAATACAGCTAAAATAAAACATAAGAAATCACAAAACACAATATAACAAAACAATTGACATGGCTAGATAAAAGGTATTGACAAAATATGTTTTTAAGCAGGTATTTAAATACAGGCGCAGCTCTAATAGAAGCTGGTAATTTGTTCCATAGACTAGGACCAGCAACAGCGAAGGCTTGATCACCTCTGCAATGGAACCTTGATCTAGGAACAGAGAGGAGACCTAGATTACTGGATTTTAGGGACCTATTTGGTTTATAAGTAGAGATTGCCTCGGAGAGATATGATGGGACTTAATTATGCAGAGATTTAAAAACAAAAGTTAAAATTTTAAAAGTAATTCTAAATTTGACATAACCAGTTTAGTGAAATAAGAATGGGCGAGATGTGATCGAATCTCCGTCTGCCTGTCAGCAACCTTGCAGCAGCATTTTGGACCATCTGTAAACGCATTATAAAGGACTGACTTATACCATAGTATAGTGAATTACAGTAATCTAAACGACATAGAACAAACAAGTGAATAATCTGTTCAAACTGTTTAACAGAAAGTAAAGATTTGATTTTTGATAAACGCCGTAAGTGGAAGAAACTTGATTTGACCACTGCACTAATTTGTTTCTCAAAACCCAGGTTGCAATCAAAAAGAATATCAAGATTTTTAGCACAGTAAAGTAGGAAGAGAGAAGACCAAAGTGAAGGGTACAGTCTTCATATGACTTTAAACCAAACAAAATGATATCTGTTTTGTTCTTGTTTAACACTAGAAGATTCTGCTTTAACCAGATTTGTAATTCATTTAGACAATCCAACAGAGGTCCTAAGAATTCTTTACTTTTATGCTGCAAGAAAAAATACAGCTGAGTATCATCCGTGTATAGGTGGAAGGACACTCCATATTTCTCAAAGATAGCACCAATTGGTAGCATAAATATAGAAAATAAAATTGGGGCAAGAATTGAGCCCTGTGGCACCTCACAAGCAAGTGGGCGTGAGGACAAACTATGTTGGCCAATGGAAACACTAAAATTTCTGTTTGTTAAAAAGGATTGAAACCATTTCAACACCTTGCCCTGACATGACAGCTCAGCAGAATTACACAGGTTTGTAATGCTTGTCATTACATCCCCTCCCTCTTGCATGTATGCTTATTATATATTTTGGTTAGTTTGATAATGATTATAATTGAAAATGTTAAGAGTCTAGAAATTTCTGCTTAACACATTCACCACAGAATTTTACAGTTTTTCCTGCAAGATCAGCAAAGAAAATATTTTAAAAAGACTATGGAAAGTGTTTGTATTTAAAAAATATAAACATTTTATTGCATATTTTGCCATCATTAATATTATATGCCGTAAATCTCTATGCTTACAGTAAACAAAAGTTTCATTCTCAGAATGTAAGTCTTAAAATCTTAAAGGTTAGCTGTTTTTTTTAACATCAACATTGTGTGCCGTGATCAATGAATATATGTGCACTGTCAATAACCTCATTCCGGTAGCTAATGTCAACATTGTGTGCCGTGATCAATGAATATATGTGCACTGTCAATAACCTCATTCCGGTACATTTACATTTACATTTAGTCATTTAGCAGACGCTTTTATCCAAAGCGACTTACGGTAGCTAATTACAACTGTATCTTTAGATGGGGATAAAGATGCAGACTGTGTGTTTTTAGCTACATCATAGCAAACATCTGAAATGAATGAATGATGATGTTTAATTAATTCAGCCATTATCTCGTCTTAAAGTGCGGTCACATTGTTTGACACATTTTCATTGGTGAAATCCAGTCATTTCAATAGCAATCCATGCAGGCTGCAAATCTGCATGAGGGTTAAAGCTTTCCCCACAATGGGTGGGCAATGCAATGGGTTCAGTTGGTCATATGAATTCGCCATTTTAACGAATTGAGTGCTGCTTGGTTTCAAAGTTAATTTCTATATGAACTGTGATTCACACATCAGCACACTATTGACAATAATTACAGTTTTTTGCTGTAAGTTTGGCTAATTTGACCGCACTTTTAAATATAAAACAACTAAGGAAAATTAGTATTTAGAACATCATTAAACGTTGCACCATTGCTGATAAAGAATTGCGACAGTCAAATAATATATACACAAATATATTACTTAGTCCTTTTAGTCATAATTTGTTAACACAAATTATGTAATCAAGTCATTCCAATGAATTCCTTAATGTTAATTTAGTCAACAGAAGACTTTCAGACCGCTGTGGTGAGACAGAACGTTTCTCCTCCGTTCATCTCCTTCTCTTCACTTTTTTCATCTCCATTCTGTTTCTCACTCTCTTCCAGTGTTTTTCCAGTCTTGCCTTCATTCACATCCTCATCTATGTAAAGCAGAGGCTCCTGCTCCTCCCATTTCTTAGCCTCCTTGGTACCGTCCCCACCCACTCCACCATTAGAGGTATCTCCTGCATCCAGAGCGGCGAATGTCCTTAGCACCGTATCGTCTCCATCCTGTTTCCCATTATTAAGCATTAGACCCTCCTGTACCTCAGCGTCACATTCAACCCCCGCCTCCAGTTTGACAGGCCCCGCCCACGCATCATCCTCCGCCCCTTTTTTTTTTTTGGACCGTTTACTTTGTCCATTCATATACATGGGGCTGAAATTCCTTGAGGCGTTTTTCTTTCGCCGCTGGGTGAACAGAATCATGCCCACACACAGCGCAAAAATAATGGCCACAAACACTATTATTATTAATAACCAGCTGGTTTTCAAGGACATAATTTTTTCCCCAATAATCACGCCGGTTGTTGTGGTGGTGAAATGGGTGGAGGCTGAATCTTCGTCAGACCTCGAGTATGGGTAATCAACAGTATTTTGAGGGAGCTGTGTAGTCGATGTTGATGTTGTTGAAGTTGTAGTGGAGGTTTCAGTGCTGGTGTCCACAGGGTCAGACATGATGGACGGAGACTCAGTCCAGTCTGCAGGTGGTGTGGTCGTGATGGATGTGGGATTGAGGGCTTCTGTTGAATCAGTAGTCATGGCTACCGCTGCTGTGGTGATTTCATCTGTAGGACGTTCTGTAGAGCTGGTCGACTCGGGAGAGGTGAAGCCAACAGTTGTTTCATACTGACTTGTGCTTGGGGCGTCTGAAGTTATTTGTTCAATCACTGTTGTTTCCACATTAACAGGCAAAGTAGGGGTGGTCACTGTGGTCTGCTCCGTTTGTACAGTTGTTGTTTCAGGAACAGATTCTGGTGATGTTTGTTCAATACTCAGTGGTGGAGTACTCTCACCTGTTGGTTCCTCATGCATGGTGTTTATTTCATTAACAAGTGTGGTTTCTGGATTATGCAGATCCGCTTCTGTCTGTAGTAGAGTAACTGTATTTTCAGGTGTGGCACTGGTGATTTCAGAACTTAACGTTGACTCCACAGTGTAATTATTTGGTAATGGGATGGTGGTGTTTTCATCTGTCTCTGTTGTTGTTTCTTGTGCATCAGTGGACTTGAAGCAGGGCCCGAGAGCAAGAAACAGAAGCAAATTACCCAAAACAAGCCTCATGATGAGCATACTGCCTGAAAACATCACTCAATCTAGAAGCTTCCTACAGCGATTTCAGTGTTTGGGCAACAGAAGTGCTCAGGTGAGCTGATATTGTCTTTGGAGATCCACTTTTGAGCCTCGAAAACGTGATCGAAAACTGTTGACTATACGTTTATGGGAAGCTGTTGGCAGAAGAAATTCATCTTTTTTTTCTTGTTCTCTGCGTGGTTGGTGTTTTACAGAGGTAATCTGGGCTGGAAAGTTTTACACAGGCCTGTTCCTTCCTCTTTCTCCTTCTCTGTCTCTCTCTCAGTGTAGCATGGGTGATTTCAGCTTTCAAATATACATGTGACAGTAAAAAAGACACCAGAAGAAAAAGACAGTTAGTAAAAAAAAAAGTTCACTCTTATTTGTCTCAAGAATATATATTTTATATGAATTCTATTTTTGGAAGATTTTGTAATATTTTTAAAGAAGTCTCTTATGCTCACCAAGGCTTTATTTTAGTGCTGATTAATCACATCCAAAATAAAAGTTTTTGTTTACATATCATATGTGTGTGTTCTGTGTATATTTATTATGTATATATAAATATACACACACACATACAGTATATATTTTGAAAATATTTACATGTACTTACATGCATATTTATATTCATATAATTTATATCACATATAAATATATTTAATAAATAAATGTAACATATTTTTCTTAAATATATACATGAATGTGTGTGTGTATTTATATATACACAATAAATACACACATATATTATGTAAACAAAAACTTTTATTTTGGATGTGATTAATCGTTTGACAGCATCACTTTATTTATTTGATCAAAAATAGATTTAAAACAGTAATGTCCTGAAATATTGTTACAATTCAAAATAACTGTTTTCTATTTTACTATATTTTAAAATAGAAGTTATTCCTGTGATGGCAGAGCTGAATTTTTAGCAGCCATTACTCCAGTCCAGTACTCCAGCCGTTACATGATCCTTTAGAAATCATTCTAATATGCTGATTTACTGCTCAATAAACATTTTTACTATCATTACCGATGTCGAAAACCCTTAATATTTTTGCGTAAAATATTCAAAATTATTCCTAATGCAAATATGTATCATTTATCATTCGAAATAATATATATATATATATTTTTTTTTCTAGAAGGTAGAATTAAGTTCTAATGCTTTTATCTAAATGGACTTTCTTGGGAGTTTTGGGAGCCCCATGACATTGGCATTGTTTGCGCTATGCTCTACCTACCAGATGAGCTACACTTCATGTGACGGGCAGAACAGAGGTACATCCTCAGGTTATTTCAGTGCATATCTATCACATTTACTAAAATGCAATTCGAGTGCCACCATGATGTTAATGTTTCTCTATGCTGCATGTAGCGTTTTTTCTTTCTTTTTTTGTCTACCTGTCCTCAAGCATCTTACACCATCACAGCCACAAACCGTTTACCATTTGCTCCCTTTGTGAATAAGTGCGATTGCCACTTACCTTCATGCTTCTGAGAAAAGTCACTGCAAACTCCGACCACCAAGACCAAACTACACATGTGAAAATCTACACACTCACGCATGCAGAGCACACCTATATCCTGTTCATTTCTCTTCCTCTCTCACTCCTACATGCCCTCTTTCATTTCTCCTCCCTCTGAAGATGTCATATCACTGCTTGCATCTGGCCGAGAGAGGCTGCAGCTGAAAGATTTTTAAAAATGTGTTAGGTTATAGTATGAATTATTATCTGAGGCTGAAGTAGAAAAAGGGAAGCCAGGCTCTAATGGGAAGCTCTGTGCAGGGTGTGTTGACACTTCTGTGGGTTTTGACTATGCTTTGTCTGCACAACTTTGCTGTTAAGTGTCTATGTGCAAGCACGTGTGCGTTTGAGTGTGTACATGTATATGTGTGTGAGTATGTGCTTGTTGGGTGGAGGGTATTGCAAACTTAGAGAAGTGTGAAAATGTGTGTCTAAAGTAAGGTTTGCTCAAACAGTTTTGAGATGTACGTCCCGTCCTTTCATATTTCACAATCTAAATGACTACATATCTAAAATGAATACAGGATTTGGCAACTTTACCAATTGCAGCTCTCAGTAAGGTTCAAGAAGGTTCATTTAGGCATTTTACATGAGCACGATATCTTGACTTTGACTTTAATAACAGTTTTTTCTTTCCTTCTGTCGATGTTTAACTTCAGCAGAAAACTACTGAGACTAATCACTTTCATTTCCTCTTTCTGAACATTTAGCATTTTTTCATGATGTTTGTCTCTAACTCTCTTTTTCACCACTCAAACACAACAGAAACCTGCATCATCTGTTGTAAATCTTCAAAATGAATGATTCACACCATCTCAGAATCAATATTTCACCACTTTATTTCACATGATAATCTTAACTAGTGCAAACCAGCACTGTGAGATTTCCAAAGACAATGTGTTAACAGAGATTTCTGCCCCTAGAATTTTTCTTGGGCAAGTTATCGCAAGTCCTGACTTAGTGATGGTGGCAACACAAGATGCAATTGTGCCTCTGTATGGACTGAAAAAAATCAGAATAGCTTTTTAAATTGTTTTTTCATTCAGTAATGTTTGCATATCAATAGAAATAGCTTTTTTTTAACTGCATATTATTATTCATTGAAAGGTGACACAAATATGTGTATTTTTTATGTAAATATACATAAGTGAATATTTATACATAAAATGTACACATTTTTTCAGGGATTGGAATTTTTTCAAAAATAACCTAGAATGTTCTGAATTTTTCAGCAGTGTATTAAAAATGTATGTGGTTGATGTGGGCTGCCCCTTCACTTTTCCAAGTAAGGAGAAGTACTGTTTATCTTTCTGGAGTCACGTCACTCTTCTTGCCCACATTTGAGTTTGTCAGAAGTGTTATTTTACTTATTGACACATCCATTTAATTTCACTGTTGAAAAAACTTGAGGCAACCAGCGTCAGAACTTTTTTAATATACTTAAGGGAAAATGATGTATTAACCTAAATTAATTGGCCAGTGCTATTAATGTAATATTCTCTATATATAAACTTGTATTTTAAGTTAAGATGAGCATTAACGTTACAAAATAGTGATGTAGAGCATTCTTAGACTGTCTAATTTGTGTATATGTTTGTTGAGCAAACTGAAAAGCTTATACAGAGTTATATCTACACACCAAAACAAATATATGTATTTTTTACATTTTACCTTATTTGTATATTTGTATAGTTGAATTTTGTATTTAATCTGTATCTATCTGTATTTATGTTATTTGTATGCACCAAGGGTCTGAGAGTAACGCAATTTCAATTCTCTGTGTGTATGTGCTGTACATGTGGAAGAACTGACAATAAAGCAGACTTGACGACTTGACTTGAGCAAGTTGTGCGTGTGTATACTCGTATGAAATGGAAGGAACTTCACAGAGAACATGTTAATGGTGACTTGAAACGAAACACAACAAAATAAAGTCAAAAACGTTTCATAGAGCTAAAACATCTCATTCTGAAAAACAAATATTTGTCATCATAAGTCCCCATGCTTTGACCAAAAACACAAATTATTGCATCACCAGTGATCAAACTGAGCATGCTCAGCTGCCTGCTTGCTGGACCCTCACCACCAAACTTGAGACTGTAATGCTGCCTTCATGTGCTATCTGAATTTCCTACTTCCCAATTCTGACGTTATCACGTGTTTTGTTGTGTTTAAGTGCTTTGTTGTTGAAAAGAATAGAAATCATGGAAGACGGTAGGTTCATTCTTGCCCATTTCTTGGGTAAATCTTACTGAAGCCAAAATGTATTGAAGACATTTAGTCAATATCTAATGGATTTTGAATAAAATATAGCATCCCATTAATTGGCAATGATATAAACATTACTCACACTATTGTATACATTCACCGTGCTATCTATATAGTCATCTTGTTGACAATTTTAGAATTTTGGTCCAAAAAAAAATGCTACAAGCAATATGCATCAAATGGTTATTTATGTACGTAAACAAACATACATTTAACGGCAAGAGAAAGCAATGCAAATGTTTTGGGAAAAATTAATAAACCTTAGCAGTCACTATTGGTGGTTCTCTCCTCCATTATGTTTAAAGCTTATGGCCCACCCAACTCAGAAACTTGTGTATCACAATTAGGGTTGCAAAATTCCGGGAATTTTCAAGACTGGAAACTTTCCATGGGAATTAATGGGAAAATATGGTAATTCATGGGAATAAACTGGAAATTTGCAAAATTGCAGGAACTGGAAACTTAAATGTAGTTGAGAAAAAATCATGCAGCATAATCTTGGTTAAAACAACCAGATTTAATGCAATTTCAGTTTAATTTCTACCCTACACACTGCTCAATCACATGCATACAGCACACTGCTTACTGCAGGGCTATTGAGGCCACACCCCCTACATGCACTGTGCTTTCATACACAACATGAACAGATCATTTCTTAAATCCTGCACACAAAATATCAAAATGCCCATCGTGGTAAGTATTCATGTAAATTATATGAATAATACAAAAAATTATGTTTAAAACTTCATTGTGCTGTGTGTAATATACTGTGGAACTAAGAGGCTATACCATGGTAAAAACAAATACACTGACTGAACAAACATTTAGGTGAGATAATAATAAAACAGAAGTCTAAAAATGACCCTCCCCCACACACAATCCCCTCTAGTCACCTAAGAGGGGGATTCCCCTCCATTTTCTCTGAAGCCACACTTATGCATTTGAGCCCAAAGACTACATCTGAGTTTTGATATTCTAAATATATTTGAATTTAACTAGTAAATACCAAAAAGTGTTTTTATAGTAGCTAGCTAGCCAGTAAATCAAGATATGAAAAATCTAAGCGAGTTAACACTATTTCATTGACAATTTATGAGGTATAAACTAGCTCAAGCTGTAATGCTCTTTCTGCTAGCCAGCTTTCTGTTATTATACAGAAGTACAGTACTGGTCAAAAGTTTGGACACATTACTATTTTTAATGTTTTTAAACGCTGCATATCTTTTTCTCATCAAGCCTTCATTTATTTGATCAAAAATGCAGAACAAAACAGTAATTACCGGTATTACAATTTAAAATAATGGTTTTCTGTTTTAATCTCCTTTAAAACAATGTATATCTGTGATGCAAATCTGAATTTTCAAGATTACTCCAGTCTTCAGTGTCACATGATTCTTCAGAAATCATTCTAATATGCTTATTTATTATCAATTTTGGAAACAGTTGTGCTGCCTATATATTTTTTATTACCTGTGATTTTTTTCCAGGATTCTTTGATGAATAAATTGTAAAAAGACAGAAAAAAGTTTAAAATAATGGTTTTCTGTTTTAATCTCCTTTAAAACAATGTATATCTGTGATGCAAATCTGAATTTTCAAGATTACTCCAGTCTTCAGTGTCACATGATTCTTCAGAAATCATTCTAATATGCTTATTTATTATCAATTTTGGAAACAGTTGTGCTGCTTATATATTTTTTATTACCTGTGATTTTTTTCCAGGATTCTTTGATGAATAAATTGTAAAAAGACAGAAAAAAGAAAAAAAAACAGCATTTATTTAAAATAGAAATCCTTTTTTAACAATACATTACCATTCAAAAGTTTGGGGTCAGTATCTTTTCTCTTTTTTTTAATAAATGAATACTTTTATTCAATAGTAAAGTAGTAAAGACTTATATTGTTAGAAAAGATTTCTATTTTGAATAAGCACTGTTCATAAGTTTTTATTTATCAATAAATCCTGAAAAAAATTTCATTTTTTTAATTTGTATTAGTTTGCATGCATGGGAACAAAATTCCCCAGACGAAGTTCCCATAGAAAGTTTTCCGCCCCTTTGCAACCCTAATCCCAATTATCTAAATATATGACTTTTAAAAGGCCATTTATGTCCAGTTTCTGCTTGGGAAAGTCATATTTACGATTAGCATGTGATGGCAGCATCGGCTCTTTCTGTTTAATTCATGTCAATTACAATTTAATAATGTCAGCTTTGTCTATATGCAATAGTTCAACCAACCTAGAGTTTGTCTTTTTTATTTTTTATTTTTTTTTTGTGCACAGCTGGACACAAATCCTTCTGACAATTAAAGGTGCATGTAGGATCACAAACACAACATTCAGACTTCTTATTCAGACTTTTTTAGTAACTCAAATAAAGGCTCCATCAAAATCCCCTTGTGTTTTAGGCATACGCCTGAAGGTATAATAGTCCAAATATTTTCCTTTGGAGCCTTTCAAAGTTTGTAACTACGTGTCCTCTGTCCTCTCCTCCTTCATGTGTCTGTTTGCGTACCAGAACTCTGTTATGTCTTCCACAGTCACTCTAGGCTGAATCCACAGGCTGTTCTCCTCATTATCCTGTTCCTGTCCTCTCCTCTTCATCCTCCTTCTGTCCTTCTCCTTCCTGTCGGCCTCCAGCGTGGATCCATTGACGTACCAGAACTCCACTCTGTCCTGCACCGAAGCTTTGGGCTCGGCCCAGAGGCTCTCCTTCTCACACGTCTGACCTCCTTTTACTCTCCGCTTCATCTTTTTTTTGGAGACCGACAGACGCACCCAAAGGAAAATAGTTATTCCTAGAAATATGGTGGCGGTCATTGCTAAAGTCCACAATGTGAGGAAACAGACCAGTTTGGATGGCCAAGAATGATTTCCTGGTTTTGGGTTCAGACATGAAGGCCTCACTTTGTTTTCTGTGTCATTTTTGTTTGATCTGTTGTTTGTGGCATTTAGGCTGTTGTCAGTTATGATAGAGATGTTGATGTTGGCGGTGGTACCACCGGGTGTGTCTGTTCCTGTCCTGTTTTCTCTTCCTGTGGTTGCTGTGGAGTTTGTCAACCTGTACATATTCTCCTGTGTCGTAGAGTGATTTACGGCACCTTTTGAGGTGTGATATTCAGGTGCATCTGTAACCGTGGGGTAACCCTGTGCTGTTGTGTACGGTGTGGTCATGGGAATATCTGTGCTTTGTGAAGCTGACCATTGGTTACTCACTGTTGCATCACTGACATTGATCGTATTCGCTGCTGTGTCGTAATGTTCCTCTCTGTGTTCATTTGAGAACGTGGAACTTCCCTCAGTGCCTCGTGTTCCTCTCGACTCCTCTTTCATATTAGCAAATGTGGCCTGGGTGGAGTTTGTTTCGTAATTTCCTTCATCGGCTTTCGTTCTCTCATCCTCTTTCTCTGTGGAATATCTCCAAGGAACTGTTGAGACACTGTCGACTGGATCTGATAAAGTGTCTGCAGTCTGAACGGTGCGCCCGTCAGAGTTGTAACTCACACTTGACGTTGTACCTGTTTCATTACTGTCATCCTTTTGTGGCGTTAGTCCTGCAAAGTTAGTGGAAACTGTTGTATGACTATTATTCGCATCGCTCATAGCCACATTACTAGCACTGTTTACGCTCTCGCCATCATCCATCATGACATTTTGAGAAGGAGTACTGCTGTTCAGTGGATGCAGGGATGCTGTGTCCGGTGTGGGTGTCACATTTGGGGTTATATTTGTCTGTGTATGCACTTCACTGGGCAAATTTGTTATGCTTTTCTGTGTTGTTGATGCGGTTGGAGATGACGAAGATGTTGTGTATATAATGATCTTTATTTCTGGGTTTGTTTTTGTTGTTGCTGAAGTTATTTGTGTGGTTTCAGTGTAGTCACTTGGGGTGTTTGTTGGCGGTGTGTTGAAATAAAGAGCTGAGACGATGAGGAACTGAGTGAACCACACTGTGATGGACAATAGAGTCATCTCCATTGTGACTTTTGTAAAAGAGCAAGAGATGACATGAGTACAGACAATGTGACAACAAGACAGGAAAACAAATGAAAACACGCAAAAACAAAGTTCAGTTCATCAATGCATTAAGTACCTGTCCTCATGAACTTACAATGAACATTTTTACATTTTTGTAGTTAGCATTCATTTTTAATTCATATTTGTTCACAATACATTAAATTGTGTTAATTGAAATGTTAGTATATTAGTGTATATAGAGATACATATATATATATATATATATATATATATATAATCTTTTGTAACATGATAAATGTCTGCTCTGTCACTTGTGATCCATATTTATTGATAAAAGTATTACTTTATATATATATATATCATTTCTGCTAAATAACAGTTCTTTTAATTTCATTTAACTGATCTGACGAACACTCCAGGCCTACAATGAACGCAACACGTCACAAAATGGCATAAACTTCACAATATGCTTGAATGTGCTAAGAATAAACGAGAACTCTTACATAAGCTTCATCTGTATAACTTAACATTTAGTTTTACGCAATTGATGGAAACAAATAAACTCTACCTGATGTTCAGAATTCATCACGCCGTCTCTTCCTGCTGCACCGTGATTTCTTCGCTTGTGCTGTGGTGCCTTCTGGGATACTTCTCTCCCCTAGATGAAGCTTTCAAATGACAGGAGGAAATGACAGTTTGATCACCATGCCAACAGTGGGATGAGGTGAGAGGTTGGAGTAAAGCAGGATGTGGTTCAGTGACTCCTCCTCTTCCCTCCATCAATGCTGCTGTGGAAAAAAAACATAGAACACAGAATGTGAACACATCCTGTTGACTCATATTACATTCAGATTGATCAATTGCACATCACTTATGAGGACACCAAACTTACCAGAAAGATGCGTTGACAAGGTGACGAAAATGTCACTACATCGTTGTGTGTATGTATGTGTATATAAACTACACATGTATGTATGTACATATATAAACTATTTCCAGCAACTTTCTTAACGTGTAAATATTTATTTTAACATAAGAAGTTAAACAACTGAGACATAAACTGAACAAGTTCTGTAAAGGCTTTGCAAAATTTTCTTTAACAGTAGGCTATGTATCTTTACAATATACATAACAGGGACATTTCTTTTTTGCTGAGTTTATATATAACTTATATATACATGTTTATCCTTATTGCAAGTGAATCTGTATTTTATGTTTGACTTTGTGTAGTTTTGTTCATGTTTTTTTTTTTAATACAAGGACATGTTATTCAACCTCCCCATGATGACATCTGCCAATTTTGACTAGCCTATACAAAGTGACTGATTACATTTTTCCAAAATGTTGTAGATTTGGATTAGATATACAGCCTTTGACATACAGACATACACTATCATTCAAAAATTTAGGATCAGTAAGATTTTTTTAAATATATATTTTTAAGAATTTTCTTATTTTCCACGAGGCTGCATTTATTTAAACAATAATACAGTAAAACAGTAGAACATATAACTTTTTGTATAATATAATATTAAATAAAAAATATTTTATATTTTTAAATATTTCAGTATTTCTTTAAATGCATTTTATTCCTAACTTTTCAGCAGTCATTACTCCAGTCTGTCACATGATCTTTCATAAATCATTCTAATATGAAGATTTGGTGCTTAAGAAACATTTATTAACATTTTTGAAATCAACTGCACTGCTTCTCATTTTCAGGATTCTTTGATGAACAGAGAGTTCAAAAGAATATCATTTATTTGAAATTGAAATATGTGATATGTGATATGTGATATGTGATTTTGATATGTGTTTAATATTGATTTTTATTAATTTGCATCCTTGCTTAAAAAAGTATTACTTTCTTTCAAAATTGTATTGCTGAACTCAACTTGCATTTCATTATTTTCATTTGCTTTTTTTTTTTTGCCTGCTGTGACCCGGCCTTGGCCCACCAGTTGAGAAGCGCTGCTGATATATGGATAGGTAGCTGTGACTTTATTTACAACTTCTCATTTTTATCACACTTCTTTCTGTCATCTATATTTATTCATTTCAGTCCGGCAGATCTCATTCTCCTTTTCCACTCGCTATTCTCCATATCCTAATTCTGCTATATAACTCCGTCCTATATTGTCTGTTTATCTCAGATTCCTTTTTGTCCTTTCATTGATGCCATACTTGCTGTGTCCGTGTTTAATTGAGGATTGTCTTGGATTAGCTGTTTGAGAAAGCCTTAATCTGTTTGAGTCACTGAGACACAGTTTATGAGAGAAGAGCTGAGGGTAATCACAGAGAGTGCCAGGCAACAGATGCGCCTGCGTTAGTTAACCTGAGAGAAACATTCGTGGAAAACCAGATCTCTTTGGGCAAAGCCTTTAGACGGACAGTGAAGGTGTCAAAGAGCTACAGAGTGAGGAAGACATGGAGCAGGAAATGTCCTCTGAGAAAGACGAGAACAGCAAACCAGAGGAGGAAGACGAGGATGAGGAGGAAATGCAGGACAGAGGGGATCCGAGGGACATGGAGGTCTGGAATGGGTTTATTTCGGGAGCAGGACTTGCAGCTGAAGAGGAGGCGCTGCTGGACTGGAAGCCAGGTGACCCTGTGACTCCTCAGTATGTCCTCAGGCTACCAGGATACACAGACGGTGAGGACACCAGTTTATTTGTGTGCTTTTGTTCTTTTACTGCAATACTTTCTTTTCTTTACTGTTATTGGTTATGTGTACAGACTACCTGTGCTCCCCAGAAGACAATATCTACAATATTAGCTTCTCACGATTCAAAATAAGAGACCTGGAAGATGGATCGGTCATTCTGGACCTGAAACGACACTGTCAGACAGGTATGTTAATGCCTTTTTAACACTTATTTTCTGTTTCACATGGGTGAGTTTGTAAAAGACACATAACTTGGCTGTGTGATATTTCAGATTGTGTTTAAGATAGAAAAGTGTTTATGCTAATGAGGAGCCAAACATGTCATTTGACCTCTAGTGGACATTATGTGCAGTAGCACTTGAAAAATGTCTTGTATTTCAGCATTACTCTCTTTTTTCGCTCTTTCCTAAATCAGTTATGTTAGTATTATTTTATTTATATACATTCTAAAAAATGCTGAGTTAAATATAACCCAGCGCTGGGGTAAAAAGGGACAAACCCAGCTATTGGGTTGTTTTGAACCAGCTATTGGTTTGTTTTGACCCAGCGGTTCGGTTCAAAACAACCCAATAGCTGGGTTTGTCCCTTTTTACCCCAGCGCTGGGTTATATTTAACTCAGCATTTTTTAGAGTGTACTATTATAGTATTTATTAATATTTTGATTTAGCATTTATTTTTTTATTTTCAGTTTGTTTTCATTCAAGTTTGTTTTATTGATTTTGTTACATGCTTAAGTTTGTTTTATTGATTTTGTCATGTTTTTGTCAAATAATACAATGTCAAAGCATTGTATTTTTTACTATGATAGTATTTATTAATATTTTGAATTAGCATTTATTTTTACATTTGCAGTTTATTTTCATTTTAGGTTAAGTTTTAGTGTTTTAATGTGCTTTTGTTGTTTTTATTATTACAGTTTTGCTTTAATACATTTTTTTATTTCAGATGCAGTATTTCTCATTTTCATTTAAAATGTCACATTTTCAGTTAAATCTTAAATATGGTATAAATTCCTCTTCTTTCTCTCACAGAAATAAAGGATGTCATAGAGCTGGATGCAGGCCGTTTCATTCAGTATCATTTCAGTCCTGCATTTCTCAGTCTCAGGGAGATTGGAGCCATGTATGTTTTTTTTTTGTTTTTTTTGTTTTGGAGCCTTTAGAATAGCTTGACATTTTTACTCCAAATCAGTATTTGCATAATGTGTAATCTCTCTTCTGAACAGGCTTGAGTTTACAGTGGGTGGTAAGGCAGTCAACAAGTTTCGGCTGATTGAGAGGCATTACTTCAGGGATCTGCTGCTGAAGACGTTTGATTTTGAGATCGGTTTCTGTATCCCACACAGCAGAAACACCTGTGAACACATTTACTGCTTACCAGATCTGGATTCACACACAAGTGAGTAACACACACAAACTTACAATGCATTTCACACATTTTACAACTGCACGAAAAATATCCACGAGAACATATGGGGCTTGTGTAAAAGTACAATTTTGACTATGTTGTGTTATTTCAGTTAAGGAGATGATCAACCACCCTTTTGAGACGCGGTCAGACAGCTTCTACTTCGCCAATAACACACTAATCATGCATCATAAGGCAGAGTACTCCTTCAGCCCAGCACTAGAGCTCAGTGAGAACCAAACCTAAACATCAATCACAGTATGGCAGCAGAAGACTGGTAACATAATATACAGAGTAGTGCTGTATATTTGGTTTCATAAACCATAAACTATAGGAAAAGGCATTTCTTTGTTACTTTACCGATGTTTGTGCTGGAGAGATGTTGTGTTGCTTGCACACTAATAAAAAAACCTTTATCAGAAAACATGCTGGTGATTTGATGTTTTGTCAACTCAGTCAGAATAGATGGGGTAAAGGGAAGCCCTAATGATGATTAAAGGTGACATATCATGAAAATCTGACTTTTCCAGGTTTTAAGTGCTATAATCAGGTCCCTGGTGCATCTACCAACCAAGGAAACGTGAAAAAGATTAACCCAGTAACTTTGTTTTGGTAAGCCTTTTTCTGCAAGTGTCAGTGCGTCAGATTTCATTCCCTTGGTGACGTGGCAAAGGGATCTCATTACAATATTACCACCCCTTAATCTGTAAGTTTCCACCCACGGCGCCATCATTTTGATTTTGCAAGCGACAATGGTGTACCAGCTCTAATGCCATGGCGAAAGTTTGTGCAAAACATGCTAACTGCTCTGTCTTTGACTGCACAGACGAGCACAGAACACTGTTTAGAGTCCCAGCCTCAGAGGAGACAAGAGAGCAGTAAACTTGTGTGTGAATGAGAACTTAGTTTAATACTCACATACTGTGACAGCCGCTTTCTGTCCGTGTGCTTCGGATGTGTGCTCTCAGAAAACCGTATATCAGAAGTTTAAACTCATATTGTTTAAAACGCATGATTTCAGCACAATAAACATGATAATCAGAACCAAAACAGATGTTTTTTAGCAGATACCAGCTGTAAAGGCTCAGCTCTATTCTGGATTCGGGGCGGGGAGCAGCAGCTCATTTGCATTTAAAGACACAGGCCCGAAAAACGTGTTTCTGCTTCTACTCAAAATCGGCATTTTCAAATTAAATAATAAATGATCTGTGGAGTATTTTGAGCTGAAACTTCACAGACACATTCTGGGGACACCAGAGATTTATATTACATTGTAACAATGTCAATGTCTTGAGAAGGAAGAGGACGGGGTCGGCTTGACTGCTGCTGGGGTTTTTATTCAGCTTCAAACAAAGTAAAACAGAACGTCGCGCTACCAGCGCTCAATATAGCACAATTGCACATGCACAATCGCAATCGCAATCGCAGGGCTCTCCAGAACAGGCACAGTCTCTCCCCAGTCAGCAGTTAGTCTCTCTCTGCCTCACAGCTCTTTCCTGGGCCTCTTTATGTGGTCTCTGCACACCAATTACTGGAACCAGACACAGATGTTCATCATTTGCATTTGACCCACTTACTCACCGCTCGTCT